CCGGTGAGTCGCATCAAGGGTGCGCTGCATCCTGCTAAGGGTGTTCGGCATCTTGTGCTCACTTCCTTGCGTACGGATGACAGCTGCGTATGACTTAATTTACTTTCTGGTGCTTTCACTTCCAGAGACAGTTGTAAGCACTGTGTAACTGCCTCGAGGGTGCTTGACCATTTTAACACAACGTGGTGCGATCATCCCCCTTGCGCGGAGTGAGGGTTCTCCACCCCGCACAACATGATCTACTCGACCACCAGTATGGTTATCGCCAAAAAAAAAACGGAGGTAAAAAAAAAAGAACGGTAACCTGGTTGCCGAGTTCACACGAAGTGAATTGGCTTGTTCTAAACGTCGTTGCCAAGCGACGAAACCCAATCCCGATGGCAAACACCGGGGGGGGCGGCTTGTTTTACAACGTCGTTGCCAAGCGACGAAACCCAATCCCGATGGCAAACACCGGGGGGGGCAATCGGTTGACAACCTTCAATGGGATGACGGAGGGAGGTACAGCGCAAAACGCAAACTTCTGCACCGTGAGGTATTAACGAACTCTCGTTGTTGTAACGCTTTGGGTGTGCGTGTACGGCGACGCGCGGTCGCGCTTCTTCCCCTCGCATGCAAGACTTCCAGCGCATGCACACAACAAAGTGAAAAAAAGGCCTAGACTCTTGGGGACATGAGTGAGTCTCGGTAGGGATTTTGGAACGGTGTTATGTCTTCCGATGTAATGGGGGCGTCGCCCAACGTGACCGAACGACTCAGGCAGCCAAAACACCATCAGCCAGCCCACATACCCGTCCAAACCAGCGATGCAACATGGGATACATACGATACGGGAAAAAAAATCGAGCCACCTTTGGCAAGTAGGAAGGAACGATTGGCCATCGGTGACCGGTCCTGTAGGAACAGCAGTGCGCCGTCCTCTCGAGGACGCACGGTCAACGGTCTAACAAGCAAGGCATGCAAAACATGAGTGCCCCGCCCTCCCCCTCCTCCACGTCCAGAGAAAACAGTGAATGAAGAAGAATGCCGACAACAGGCTGGGTTAAACCGGTCCAGAAGGACGGAGGGCAGATACCGAGACTCAGCCCCGCACCCCTCCCAGCAGCAAAACCAAACAATGAAAACACCACACACCTCATCGGTCAGCCCAGCGCGGTCGATGCCAACAATAAACAGGCATAGCTCATCTTAATTGGGCACCCTGTTAGCGCGGTCGATGCCAGCAACAAAAGTACAACACACACACCTCTATGCCAGCCATGGACTCCGTCAGTCGGTCCGGGTAGGCGCTGAGCAGGCCGAGGCTGCTGACGTGGATGAAGGACAGCGAAGCCCCATGCAGGCCGCTGGCGATGTAGAGCCAGGTCACGGAGGAGGCCAACCCGTAAAGCGCCGTGGCGACCGTCAGGAGAAGAAGCCCGGCGAAGAGGGATTTCCACCTGCCGTACCTGCCGGAGGCCGGGGTGGTTGAGGGGGCGGGACGGAGTCGATTCTGCGGTTCGAGACTATTTGAATGCGATGAAAAAAAGGGCGTCGGAATTTCGTCGTGACTACCGACGAAAGGAGTGAAATACGTTTTCGAGTCTCGGCTTTTCCATGGGTTGTTTCATGTTATCCTCGTCGGTCCTCCCTGCCAGTTATCGGCGATAACAACGAGTTGTTGCATTTTGCTTTGATTGGGATCGGTCCCCCACCTGTTCATGACCCAGCCCACTAGTGGGGAGGCGGCGAGGTTCACGGCGGGATAGGCGGCCATGATCATACCGACCTGCCGCACACAGAAAGAAAGAGCAAGCACATCGTATTTGCCGGTAACAATATATTAAAAAAAAATAAGCGACGGCGGATCATTGTTTGGCGTCAAGGGAATTGCTCTTCGCCGTGATCGACAAAAACTTAAAAACGTTGCCTTGTGAGTAGCATGCCACGCACATTCACCTTCTGTACTCTGTTCTACCACGACGCGTTGTCGATACCTCACATCCAAAGCGGGGATGGAAAATGTCACGCTGGAGTGGAGTAAAAAAAAATCTGAGAAATTGCACAACCGCCGCTGCGCAACAACAACAACAACAACCTCTTGTTCATACCTGCGTGGAGGTCCTGCCGAACCTGTCCGCAATGTACGCGGGCAGAAACGGCCCCAGCACGGAGAAGGTCATGGCGTTCACGAAGGCCACCGAGCACGCGCTCACGTACAGCAGGCGGTACGCCTCTCCTCCGCCTGCAAACACGCCCCGCGGGTTAAAAAAAAAAGCACAAAAAGCGGAACGGGAACGAGTAAAGAAAAAATACTAAATCATGGTACTTTTCCGTGGAAGAGATAAATTCCTTGTACATGAGGAAAAAACAAAAAATACAACTCTCCCCGAGGGTGCGAACAAAAACCACAGGGGTCCGTCACAACCCCTTCCCGCTCTTGAGGTTTCACGCACACGGTCGGCATTGTTGTTGTTGAGTGGTACCACACAATTCTACGAATACAATCTCAAGTTCATGGACCCCCCCCACCCCCCCCGCAATCTAGACTTCAGTGGGTTGGCGCTGTTGGCAAAGCGCTGTAAAACACGCCACCCCAAATATAGCCCTCATAGTCATAGTATGCGCTACCAAAGACGCGTGACGCATGGATGCGTGGAGTGAGGATTGCCTACGGAAACCTCACAGGTTGAGTGATGTAGGAGATTGCCGGACACATAGACGTGTTGAGTGATTATAGCTGTATACTGAAACCCCACGGAAAGGGGAGGTTTGAGATTGCCAGACAAATAGACGGGTTGCGTGGGGATAGCTGCTGGAACCCCACGGGTTGAGTGATGTTGGAGTGCCGGACACATAGACGCGTTGAATGAGGATAGACACATATTGAACCTCACAGGTT